CACACACTGAGCCAAAGAACGAGTGGGAGGACAAACAGCTGCAGATGTGTGTTTTCACATCTAACTGTGGTAAATAAAGGGTTTATTTTGACTAGTTTGACGGCAGGGAACACAGGTACAAGGTGAGTCACAGAGGCTCCAACCAGGACTCTGACTCATTTTTTCTGGCTCATGGTGGTTCTGTTGGGTCTCTGTAAATATTGTTATAAGGAATTCGGACTAGACCTGCTCTATTTGAAAAGTGTCCTGAGATAACTTCTGTTATGAATTGACGCTATATAAATAAAATTGAATTGAATTGACTCTGGGGAAGATGAGGACATAGCAGGGACAGGAGACAGGATCTAACATCTTACTGTACAGTGTGACGACTAATAAAGACTGGTGAGTTTTATTTAGTTTCTGTGGTGAACGGTTGTATTTTTCTGTTTAATGAGGAAAATAGGTGTTTATATTTTTCTTTCTTGAGCTTTTGTGTGGTTATTTTGTTAATTGAACAGTTTAGGTACAGTGGGTTTTTAGAGGTTTTTCACCGAAAGCTGCTGGAAGCATTTGATGAGAGTAAAACAATGAGCTAAAACAGGAAAAGTAGACCTTTTTCACAGCAGCAATGTTGACATGAAACAGTAGGGTAAACACAGGCGTTACCAGTGATAGTAATTATTACTAATTGCACGTTGGCACCCTGTAAAGGCTCTGCTACACTTCCTTAGTTAGTGTCATTGGAAACGCTGGTGTTTACCCTACTATTTATGTCAAAATGGCTGCTGTGAAAAAGGTCTGTCATAGATCAGACGGTGTATTTGGTGATCTTGGAAATAGGGGAAAAACTCCACATTATTAGAACGGCTAAATCATTGAAGAAACACTACGTTTCGACCACTGTGAATAAAACGCAGCACAGCAGAGCCGGGTGATAATTCTGTCACTATTAGCGACACGTTACACATAATCATTTGTGTATTGATTGTAAATGACAAAATATTGATTTGTGCAGCTTCAGACACTCCCCAGCGAATGTTTCATCCTGGTTGATGAACGTTACAGTGAGCTGCTGTTTTAAAATGAAACTTTATATTTGTGAGGTGTTTTTTAAAGATTCAGCAGGAACCAATGAGGCTCAGACAAAATGCAGAATAAGGTTTATAAGAAAGTTTAATCTTTATATTTTTAGTCGATAACTGTTAAATAAGCGAGGAATGACATGTGAAACTGTTCTGTGCTCAGTCCGCTGATCCACCAGCACACCTCCACTGA